AAAATTAGACAAATGGTACTATGGTAAACTAAGAAGCTTTTGCACAACAAAGAAAACAATCAAAAGAGCGAAGATACCACCTGTTGAATGGAAGACCACATTTGCAAACTATTCTTCTGAGAAAGGACTAATATCCAGAATACATAAATAACTCAATAGTCAAAAAAATAAGTAATCCCACTAAAATGTGAGCAAAAAATCTGAGAAGACATTTCTCAAAACAAGACTTCAAAATGATCAACAGGTATATGAAAAAATGTTCAACATTACTAGTCATCAGGGAAATGCAAATCAAAATCACAATGAGAGATCATCTTACCCTGTTGAAATGGCTATTATCAAAAGATAAAAAATGAAAGCTGAAGATGTGGAGAAAAGAGAATTCTTATACACTGTTGGTGAAAATGTAATTACTATGTGTGGTAGCTCACGCCTGTAATCCCAGCACTTTGGGAGGCAGAGGCACTAGGATTGCCTAAGCCCAGGGGTTTGAGACCAGCCTGGGCAACTTGGCAAGACCTCATCTCTACAATAAATGCAAAAATTAACCAGGCATGGTGGTATATAACTGTAGTTCTAGCTCTTGGAAGGCTGAGGCAGAAGGATCACTTGAGCTCAGCAGGTTGAGGCTGCAGTGGCTGTGAGCATGCCACTGCACTCCAGCCTGGGCAACAGAGTGAGACTCCAACTTAAACAAAAAAAAAAAAAAAGAGAAAGAAAATACTTAGTATGAAGAAATCTCAAAAAACTCAAAATAGAATTATCATACAATCCAGCAATCTCACTACTGGGTATTTATCCAAAGAAAGAGAAATAAGTATACGAAAGGGATCTCTGAACCCTCATGTTTACTGCAGCACCACGCCCAGCCATTGCATTTTCTTTATCTGTCATCTGTTGGGCGACTTGCACTTTGGGAGGCTGAGACAGGAGAATTGCCGGAGCCCAGGAGTTTGAGAGCAGCCTGGGCAACATAGTGAGACCTCATCTCTACAAAAAATAATTTTTAAAGACTAGCTGGGCATGGTGGTGCATGCCTATAGTCCCAGCTAATTGGGAGGCTGAGGTCAGAGAATCTCTTGGGCCCAGGAGGTCAAGGCTATGGTAAGCCGTGGTTGTACCACTGCACTCCAGTCTGCTGGGTGACAGAGTGAGACTCTCACTCAAAAAAAAAAAAAAAAAAGAAAAGAAAAGAAAAAATAAAATAAAATGTGATACATACACACAGTGGAATACTATTTGCTTATAAAAAGAATGAAATCTTGTAAAGACAAATATCACATGTTCTGACTCATGTGTGGAATCTAAAAAAGTTGATCTCATGGAGGTAAAGTGTGGAATGAGAGTCACCAGAGGCTGGTAAGTGTGTATGTGTTGTGGGGAGGGCAAAAGATGAAGAGAGGTAGGCTACTGTGTACAAAAATACAGTGAGATAGAAGGAATAAGTTCTAGTGTCTGATAGCACAGTAGGGTGGCTATAATTAACCATATGGTGTATATTTCAAAATAGCTGGAAGAGAACATGTGATATGTTCCCAAAACAAAGAAATGATAAATGTTTGAGGTGATGGATAAATGCCCAAGTTTGATCACTACACTTTCTAGGCATGTATCAAAATATCACATATACTCCACAAATATGTAAAAATATTATGCATCAATAAAAACAAATTCATTAAGCTCAGAAATCGACCAAAATATATATTAATTTTACATTAGTAAAGGTAGAATTTCAAATGAGGGGCCAAATAAGAGTTATTCAGTAACTGCTGAGGGTATAATTGGCTAATTTTTATACAATAACAAAAAATAAGTTAGAGTTTAAAAAGCACTAAAAGAAAATACAGGTGAAACAGACACACTTAGGGTGGAGCAGACTATTTTTTTTTTTTGAGTTGGAGTCTCACTCTGTCGCCCAGACTGGAGTGCAGTGGCCGCTCCCGGCCACCGCAGCCTCGACCTGCTGGGCTCCGGCGATCCTTCCGCCTCAGCCTTCTGAGTAGCTGGAATTACAGGCATGCGCTACTACGCCCGACTGATTTTTTGATTTATTGTAGAGATGAGGTCTTGCTGCCCAGGCGGGTCTGGAACCCGCGGGCTCAGGCAATCCACTCACCTCAGCCTCCCAAAGGCGTGGGATTACAGGCTGAGCCACCGAGCCAGGCTGAAGCAGACTATTTTAAGACAACTGTGTAATGTGGCAGTAAGTCATTCAGATGTAACTGTGTAATAGGTAGCAACTGTAACATAAGGGATTGAAAGAGAGAGGAAAGTACAGAGCTACATTAAGTGGATCTTAGATGGCTACTTGGAATGGACTGCAGTGTTAAAGAGCAAAGAAAAAGTGAAAAGACATATCAAATATTAACAGAGGTTCTATCTGGAGGGCGGAATTATGATGATTTCAAATTCATCTGCTTAACAAATTATCTGCTTATAAGTGTATAAAACATATCTCAACCCGACAGAAAGACGGAGCCTGGGTTGATCTATCTAATCTTTCTCCCCAAACTACTCTTCTTCTTGTATTTTCTATCTTAATGCAAATTTTAAGGATGATAAAACGGATACTTTGTAGAAGGTAAATTATTTGCTCAGGATCATACTGCTAAGAGTTGGTTGATCTGAGATTCTGATTAATGTCTACCTAGACCTAGATTTCATAGTACTCTTTGGCTACCTTTAGAGGCAGAGTCTTCCTACCGACAAAATGCTCAAAGCATAAAAGTTAAGCAGATAATATGGAAAAGCTATGAAAATCTTATGAAACAATGTATCATATGATGGTTTGTGGATTCACTTTAAGAACCATGTTAAAAGGACTTTAAAGGGAGAATGTGACCCAAGATTGGGAATCTGAAGAACCTGGGATCAAATATAGATGTTATTTAGCAATTGTTTAAATTAATTAACCTTTCTTCACTGATTTCCATATCAGTAAAATGGGCAAAATGAGATCACCTATTTTACCAGGATTACTTCAAAGACCATCATGAGAAGTTACAGAGTGTTGCTTTTATTAATTATAGAGTACTACATTGGTGCCAACAAATGTAGAAAACATATACAAATATAAACTTTTTATGAGGTCTACAATGTATCTTAAATTGCTATGGACCTTGTTCTTGCCCTCATGACACATCCATTTGAGATAACAACACCAGCAGCTATGCGTCATAAACTTCACCTTAGAGACTTTCAGGATACCTTGTGAGATAGGAAACAGTACTATACTCCCATTGTTTTGGTCTTGCTATATTTTCTATTTACTGCATTTTAAAATTCTTTCACTGCTTTGTTTTAATAATCTTTTGTAAAAGATATAAAGTAGAAAAATTATGCTTTTGATACTTAATTGGGACATCACAATTTTTTCCCAAGGATGTTCACTCATGTTGCTGCACAGCACTGCTAAAGAAGGCAAGTCTCTAAAATGTTACAAGTTTGGGGTTTATTTTTAAAATGCAAACAAAAATTAATAGATTCAAAATGAAAACATTTTATTCATCTGTAAGTCAGTATTAAAGAAGCAAAAGGAGAGATAAGAGTAATTTGGCACCGCAAAATCTTTTCTTAAATGTCTCAAATTATTACAAAGGTGAAGTGATAACTACTATTAATTAACATGCTACTGTTACCACAGGTATTATACCGGCAACTTTGGTTTTTAAAAAACTGGTTTCTTTTAAACATGCTACTGTTCTGCTGGGGTTTATTCTTTATTATGGTGGTATATTAACACTAGATATTAACTGGGTTTTTACTTAAAGTTAAGCATTTGAGTTGCCTGGATTTTTTTACACCAAGAAGCCCTTTAGCAAACAAACAATACAAATCCCAATAATCTCAGATATAAGTTTATTCTTTCTGCATTTCAGCATTTCTCATAGTTGCACCTTTACGTTTATATATGGACTTTTGATTAATCTCCTTGTCCCCTGAAAGCATGAGCTTCATATGGGCAGGAACACAGGTTGATTTTGCTCATCGTTATGTTCTCAATGCCTTGCAAAATACCCAGCATACAAGCAGGCACCTGATAACTATCTGGGAAAGTATCACATGAGTAAATAATTGTTAAAAGAAAAAATGTAGTAGTTTCAGATAAATTTTTTGAACTTCCAAAAAGGCATTAATTATATTCTGTTTCCTTATTTATGTTCAAAATAGCTTTCAAATGGATAAAGGAAACATATCTGAAGAAAGACTACTGCTCAGTAAGTAGTTTAGTAAATACTTAGTGAGCACAGATCAACCATAAGGTTCTTGCCAGATGACAGGAATATGAAAATTAATGAATTAAGGTGCCTATTCTGAATGGGATATTTTAAAACAGTGAGTATATAAAATACTAATGAAGAATACCTGTCAGAGAAAAAAATGACAGAAGAGGTAATATTTAAGCTATGTCTTAAAAGATCAATAAGATTATGGCAGATGTGCAAATAGCATAAGTCTTTCAGAGTAAAGAAAAACACTTTTATAAGGACATAGAGTGTGAAAAAACATGGTCTGGATGGGGAATACTACATAAAAAATTTGGAATCCTGATAAATAGTACAAAGAGGTCAAAATAAAGACTGAAAAGTGATAAATCTAACAATTAAATGTTATTGGTTGTGCACCAATTCTGGATAGGGAACATTTGTTTATATATTATGTTTCTAACGCGGCTTCACATCACTTTTGAAATGCAAACCCTTAGGACATTGTCTAATTTCCATAGTATTATGAAGACTAAAAGGCGTGGGAAGAACAAATTTAACAAATAAAACATTTCAGATTGGTGGTCAAAATAGAATACATGCTTTCCCTTAATTAAGAAAACTCACTTTTAAGTTGTGGGCTATAAAGTACTTCAGATACTGCACAGGATTAATTAAAAAGGTAAAAAAAAAAAAAAAAAATTAAAGCCATATGCTAAGTTGAAAATATCTTTACCACATATAATTTAAACACCAACTTTCAAAACGCTTTTAAATTAAAAAGAAAAGTCTCACCTTCCTCTGGTAAATAGCAATCCAATCTGTTGTGGCAAACCACTTGTGAGTTTTTATATCACTGACACCATTTTTCAGATTTCCAAATCTCTTTGTCAAATCCACCTGCAGCAGGTTCCGTAGAAGATCCTTGAGATCTGAACTGAAGTGGGATGGGAATCGGACCTGCACAAACACACCATGTGGTAAAACACACATGCCAAGACTCACAATTTTTCTGTTTTGATTTCAAAGAGGCTTTTTTAAGGTGGTAGGCCATTATATAAACAAAATATATGGTGATGACTTTCGCACACTTTTAACCACACATTACAATCCTCCCAGTAGTCATAAAGGACAGAATTATTTGGGTGAATGAGCAACATCTGTTATCTTAGGGCCTTGATTTGGCCATGAGCTTCTTTAAAAACATGGATCACTCTCCAGAAAAGTGTGCATACATTAACAGAACTTTTGCAAAAAAGAAGTTTCACCTATCTTCAAGAGAGAGCCCTTTGGATCTTATATTATAAATTTGTCTCTGAGATATACAAATTTAAATTTGTAATATAAATAGAGCAAGCAACATATGAAAGAAATCAGTATGTACATTTTGAAAAGAGACCTATCAAAAAGGAAGGCTAAAAATGGTTGTAAAAACCCACACTGCCTTTCAAAGCACAGCAAACCAGTTTTCATTTATCAGTAGTTGGCTTTTAAGCACAATTTTGCTATTATGCAACAGTATAAAAGTAATTTAGGCTGGTTTAAAGGTATTTTTCTTCCTCCTAAATTGTGAAGACTTTACAATTAGTAGACTGGCCTCTGGCCTCAAAAACAAATAGAAAACCCCAAGTAACTGAAGATGTTACATATTTGGCAATCAATAAAGTACCATGCATAGGAGACCGAGGTTTATTTTTTTGTTTTTGTTTGAACACATTCTTCTCCTCTACCCCAACCTAACTCCCAGTTCTCCCTTTTTTATATGAGTGCTGAGAAATTAAAATGGGCACTGCTGAGCCATTTTAATGCTTTTATTCTCAGCATTTATTAGATTATTTCATGTTCTGTATAGTTCATTCACTTGACAATTACTTACTGAGTATCTACTAGGTTCCAGGCATTTTATTCTAGGTGCTAGCTATATAGCAGTGAGCAAATTCAGGCAAGTCTCTGATTTCATGGAACTTACATCCTAATTGGATATGACAAACTTGATAAATATCGTCTTAAATCTATTCTAAATATGGAGAAACTAAGATTCAGAAAGGTTATATAACTTAATCATCAGGCTATTCAATGGCAAAGCTGGGACTAGAAATCTAGTCTTATGATTTCATAGCCTCATGTATTTTGATCTTTATTACAGTGTCTTCAAATATATCAAACTCAATTTATATTTTGACTTTCAAAAAGCTTAATGTACTTGACACACATTCTCATGTTCTCAAAGTAGAAGTTAAATCATCATGCAAAGAGAGATATTTGGCAAAACTAGATTTATAACCATAGTCTTTTGACTGACACCCTTGTGTTATTCTTTCAATAACTGTTTCTCAAAATGTGGCCCTAGGACCCACTTGCATCAGACTCAACTGGGAGGATAAAAATGCATTCCTGTGGCTAATCTCAGATGATGGGGGCATTCAGCCTGAAAATCTGAACTTCTATCTCCAAGAGATTCAGATTCTTGTGAACATTAAAGCTTGGGAAGCACGATTCTCAACTCTATTCACTACTTTATGTGGAGGTTTTATTTTTGATACTAGTGAAAGATCATAAAATGTTAAATGTAAATAATAAAATGTAGTAAACTGAAATCATCATCATACCAGAGGAAAGCTAATATTTGTGTCTAGCAACCAAAGACTACGAAGGCTGAATCATTTATGAATGACCAGGATTTAGGCTCAATTCATAAACTAGCAACTAAAAGCCTCATTTTTGCAAGGCCTGTATTATCACAGATTATGAGTGGTTTTATGTTCTAAAAAAGCAAGACGTGATCTAATTGAGACCTACAGAGATTAAGGATCAGAGCTGATAAATAGTACAGCTGTAATTCCAAACTGGGTATTCTGACTCCAAGGTATACTTTTAATTATTTTATACTCCTTCCATTATTCAATAACCTGAAAATAGCCACTGTCAGAATCCTTCTAGAAGACTGAGACTTTTTATCTTAACAGTATTTTGCTGCACGTTTCCTCATTTATCTTGAAGTCATAAATAAAATAAGAGATAATCAAAAGGCACAATCTCTTCTTTAAAAATAACATGATGTTTTTCCAATGGGTTAAGTTACCTCAAGTTTTTTCAGTAGTAAATCTAAACTTCATTTAGATTCCTCCCAAAAAATAACTTATCTGAAGCACACCTATCTTTGTTTAAGATAAAATTTGCATGAGCTATTCAATGCTAATGTGCAAGTTATCCCCTTCATCATGTTCAGAATGTGGATAGTAATGTATTACATATAAATTATATTCTAAACTCAGCTAATATGCAGTGCAATGCATGAAGATTATAAGCACCTAAATAAAGTAGTTCTTGATTTTGGAATGCAAATAAAGTGATGGTCTTGAATTAGTCAATGTGGGTGAATTTTGTGTGTGTGTGTGTGTGTGTTTAATATTCAGAACAGTGATTCTCAAATGGGAAGTGGTTCTGGGTTGTGATGTCAGATACCAGAATCATTTGGGAAACGTCAAATTACAGATATAACATCTTCACCTCTATATCACACCCTCTTCTTCCCAAGAGATTCTGATAGGTAGTCCATACTCTCACAGTAGTTCACACTAATGATGGAAATCTTGTCATATCTTTAAAGTATATTTGAGGGAGAAATAATGAAAGTCATTTTAAAAGTGTTTTTTCCATGACTGTTCTGATATGTAACCTGAAATGTAATTTTCTTGTTGATTGAACTTTCCAAAGAGCCATGTTGCTTCATCAAAATGGAATTAGCAAAAAACAGAAAATAATTTCAACCAAATTGATGCAAGACCTTTATTGCAAAAATTGACCTGAAAAAACCAGAGGCCTCTATGATGGAAAGAGTGGCTATCTAATTTTTCCTTCAATACTGTATGAAGAAAGTATTATTTTTATCATCATTATCAATTATAACTACTACAGAAAATAATATCAGGATCCTAGAATATTGGAACTAGAGGAAGTTTAGTTTAATTTAGTCTGAACTCTCATGTTAAAGATAAAGAAGCTGAGCGCCAGTGAGGATACCAACTCAGTTAGTGGGATCACTGGGAAAATGACTTAATCCTCCTCACTTCTGCATCTATGAGCTTTCTGCCAGTCTATGAAGGGCCAATAATGTAGAAGTAGTTGTAAAAAGCCAGATACAGAAAAGAGAAAGTCAGTCTAAATTCATTAAATCATTAGTTTTGAGAGATGTGGTTCCTGGAAACTGACATCATTTAACGTGGAAGAGGAGTCTGTACAACATAGAAAAGGTGTTTATGAAACATACACTTACTAAACTGTTTTATTTAACCTTTTTTTCTTTTCTTTTCTTTTTTTTTATTGAGTTGGAGTCTTACTCTGTCACCCAGACTGCAGCCTCGACCTGCTGGGCTCCGGCGATCCTTCTGCCTCAGCCTTCCAAGTAGCTGGAACTACAGACGAGTGCTACCACGCCCGGCTGATTTTTGATTTATTGTAGAGATGAGGTCTCGCCAAGTTGCCCAGGCAGGTCTCAAGCCCGCGGGCTCAGGCAATCCACTCACCTCAGCCTCCCAAAGACGCGGGATTACAGGCTGAGCCACCAAGCCCGGCTAACCTTTTTTTCTTAATATTATTTCCTGTTTAGGATTCTTTTCTAACCATTCGAGACCTGCTACTTCTGGTTTTCCTAATGATATGATATATTATTGATATATATCTATTTTTCTAGAGTGGTATAGATACACAAAACAAGTTTTCAACACATGGTGTGTATCAGAATTGTCTGAGGCAATTTAAAAAACACAAGATATTTAGGATCTACAGAAGGCCTATTTAATTAGTATTTCTAGAGAGAGACACTGAAGATGAAGTACACTTTATGAAAACTTCATGATGACAGAAACCATAACTGATTTGCTGTACCCAGCATGTAGAACTGGTAAGGCACATGCTATGAGCTTAATAAATGTTTAATGAATGCAGGAATTCATATTTGACAAAATGTTGATTGAACCCCTGCTATGTGCCATGCTTGGACCAAGCAAGTACTATGGGCTTACTCATATATCACAGGACACGTGCTTGGGATTTATTAGTAAACAAGACAGGGTGAAGATTTCTACCGTCATAAAATTTACCTTCTAGTGTGGAAGACAGACAATAAAAATTTGGTAACAGAATTATCCTTCAACAATGCCTATCACTACTCACAAAACTTTGCATTGCAAGGTATTTGACTTTTATTCTGAAGGAAATGGGGAGTCCATGCAAGGTTTTGAAAAGAATAACAGGATCTAATTTAGCATTTTAAAAGACCCACTCTAGTGACTCAAATGAGAATGGTAGCAGTCAGTGTGGTAAGAAGTGGTTGAGAATTTTGTATATATTCTAAAGGTGGAGCAACAATGGTTACCCTGTGCATTAGATATGAGGTGAGGACTCCAAGGTGTCTTGGCCTGACATGCCAAAAAGTTAAAGTCACCATCAACTGAGATGGGGGAGGATGTGAAAACAGATTTGCTAGAGGGGGACAAAAATCTGTCATTTTAAGTTGAATTTGGGATATCTGACATCTGAGTGGAAATCTCAAGTTGATATAAGAGTCTGGAATTAAGCCGGGCACGGAGGCTCAAGCCTGTAATCCCAGCACTTTGGGAGGCTGAGGAGAGATGACTGCCGGAGTCTAGAGGTTCGAGACAAGCCTGGGCAGCTTGGTGAGAACTCAGGTCTACAATAAATCAAAAAATTAGCCAGGCATGGTGGTGCACGATTGTAGTTCCAGCTACTTGGAAGGCTGAGGTGGAAGGATTGCCTGAGCCTGGCAGACAGAGGCTACAGCGGCTGTGAGCGTGCCACTGCACTCCAGCCTGGGCGACAGCGTGAGACTCTGACTCAAAAAAAAAAAACACATAAAAAAGTCTGGAATTCAGGAGTCAGGTATGAACTGAAAACAAAATTTGGGAATTGTCAGTGGTATTTAAGTCATGAGCCTGGCT